AGGAAGTCTTTAGATATTATAGGTCTTAAATGCTGAGGCATGGAAAATATGTGCAATAAGATTCCAAAGTCCTAGAATCAGAAGGCAGCTCTAGGTTGCGAGCAGAGCCGACACCATGTATTTTTCCTCCTGCTTCTTCCAAGCCAACCATCCAGCCCCATCCTCGCCCTCAAGCCTAGTGCAGGGTTGGTATTTAGCAAGTGCTGGAAAGACTGAAAAAGGGAGCTATTCAAACAGATTTAGAATGAGCTCTCCTGGGCAGAGATTTGGAATCGGCAGGTATTTATACCACCACTCCTTGACCTCGTCTATATTCTCCTTCTGTCTCCACAGGCAGCCCTTTTACAATTCTTGAACATACCACATTTTGTTTTCGAATCATCTGGCAATATCTTGCATTCTCTCTGGCAGGCACAATGGCCTCTCAAACATGTCCAACTCCTAATCCCTGGAAACTATAAACATGTTATATTTTATGACATCAGGGGCTTTGCAGATGTAACTAAAGGTACCAGTCTCAGGATAGTGAATCCTGAGTTACCTGGGTGGTCCAGTCTAATCACGTGAACCCTTAAGAGCAGAGAACTTTCTTTGGCTGGAGTCAGAGGGATGCCACAAAAGTCAGAGAGATTCAATGTTTGAAGATACTTGACCCACCAGTGCTGGAGGGGCCATATGGAAAACCTCTAGGAGTCAAGAGCAGTCCCCCTCCCCCAACTGACGGCCAGTAAGGAAATGGGACCTGAGTTCTGCAACGGCACCCAACCTCCTGAATATACCTGGAAACAGATTCTTTCCCAGAGCATCCAGTAAGGAATGCAATCCTGTGGACATCTTGATTTCAGCTTTATGAGGCCTTAGCAAAGGACCTAGCTATCTTCCCGGACTTGTGACCTAGAGAAACTGTGGCATAATAAATATGTGTTGTTTTAAGCCACTAAGCTCATGGTAATCCACACTGCAGGAAGAGCAAACTAATATACAATTTGTCAAGTGGTCTAGAGCAAGCAGTTCCCAAAGTGTGGTTCCCAAAGGTCCCTGAGACCCTTCCAGGGAGTCTGCGATGTCAAAACTCTTTTCATAATAACACGAAGATATAAAATGCCTTTTTTACTGTGCTGATCTTTGTACCAATGTTGCAAAAGCACTGGAGGGCAAACTGTTGGAATCTTAGCTCACATCAAGAAGATGGTACCACACTTGACCAGGAAAGAACGCATGGTTTCATTTAAGGATGTTCTTGATGGAGCAGAAAAGTGAGTAGTTTTATCAAGTCTTGATCCTTGAGTCCATGTCTTCTTCATATGCTGGGTGACAAAATGCAAAGCACACATACAGCATACCTACTGCAGTCTGACCAAAGACGGTTGCCTCAAACGAAGGCATGCGTACCTTCCTGTTGTGACCTGAACTGGCTGCTCTTTTTTGTTTTGTTTTTTTCACAGAACGCCATTTATACTTGGGGTAAAAAAAAAGACTGATATAAACTAGAGTTATTCAGATGTGGGTATTTGGGAGATACTTTCTTGAAAATGAATGAAATGCATCTGTCACTTCAACAAAAACAACTGACAGTATTTGTTGCCAGTGAAAACATTTGAGCTTTCTAGCAAAGTTTAGAATTTTGGAAAACCTGAATCTGGCACTATAATTTGACAGATTCTCAATACTTAGTCTGTCTGATGAGATAGCAGAGATGATATACAGCAAAAGAATGTGAGTTTTTTGGTGTGGTAAACTAAACTATGTAAGCATTTTGAACATCTAAATAAGTGAGTGGATCAGTATTTCCCAAGTGACTGGTGCACGATGTTACAAAGTCATGCATGGGTAAAAGAACATTGAAAATGCCAGGAAGGGTTTATTGACGTGATTTCGTATTCCACATTGCAACTAACCTTTAAGAAACTTGTTGAGATTTGGTGTGGTGAAAAGAATTAGCACAGTTATTTGAGAAGGCTGAAAATACTCTTCCCCTTACCACATACCTAGCCACGTAAGGCTAGAGTTTCTTCGTTGTACCAAAACCAAAACATCATTATACAACAGGGTGAGTGCAGAAGGAGATATGAGAATCCAGCTGGCTTTTATTAAGCAAGATGTACAATGCTGCTTGCCTTGCGATTTTTGGTTTTGAAAATTCATTCATTCATTCATTCATTTCTTTGTAATCTCTATGCCTAACGTAAGGCTCGAACTCATGACCCTGAGATCAAGAGTTGCATGCTTTTCTGACTGAGCCAGCAGGCACCCCAGAAATATAGTTTTTTATTTTATTTTATTTTGAAATAGTTTTTAAAATACAAATATTTTATTTATGTTAGTATGTAATGGGTTTGTTATTGTTATATAAATGAATTAATAAATATTTTGAATACAGCAAATATTGCTAGATATAAACCACAGAAATAAAATCTCTTTGGGGTCCCCAAGAATTTTGGAGTGTATGTTATCTACTGAGGCCCCGTGGTACACAGACCACATATGGGTCCATATTTGCCCTCCAAGCCAATTTAAGCCCAGAGGTATTTTTCCTTTGAGTCCTACAGTTTGGCCCTTGTAATATTTAAAACAATTGTTGAATCCTGAATAAATGTGAAATACCACATTTTCCCATTCACTTGCGAAACTGATGGGCTGGCGGCATTGGGTCCACACTTGTGCAGGGCCCCTGGGGCTGGACCCTCTTTGGGACACGTGCTTTCCCGTTTCTCTCCATCCTCACCACAGTCTACTCTTTATGTCCCTTGTTTAAACCTGTTCCTCCTCAGTCGCTCACACGGCTCACTCAGCTCCTGGGAGTGTTTGTGTTTGTAATGTCTGATCCATATGGTCTCCTTGGTGGCAGGAAGTTGGGAAGACCTGGCTGAATCCCATCTCTCTTCCACTGCTCCAGAGCCCACATCAAGAAGCGGAGATCACCAGATGGGAGAGAAATTTCTGAAATGGAGGCAAAGGTTATGTTTTAAGCCTTATTCTCGCAAATATCCTAATTATCTACTACTTGATATGGCAAATAGGTATAGGTCCAGGAGGGCAGCTGAAATTCGGATTAGGAAATGGGCTCAGGAGCCAGTCTGCATTCAAATTCTGGCTATGTCTTTTGATAGCTGTGTGACCTTGTGTCGGTTACCTAAACTCTCTATGTCTCAGTTTCCTCATCTGCAAAATGGGACTAATAATATTATCTACCTCATAGGGCCGGTGGGAGAATTAAATGACATAGTATATAGCAAGCACTTGGAACAGTACCTGGCACCAGTAAGCCCTCAATAGTTGTTAGCTACAATTTCTATTATTCTTTTGAGCAGGGCTTCATTCTGGCTACGAAAAAGGAAGTAAGCTGCCATAAGGTTCTGGCCAGGCAAATTGGACTCTGTCCTCATCACCCAATCTCACAGATCCCAGAGATTCTGACAGGAATGCAATAGATCCCAGCAGATATTTGAGAATGACATAGTGGTGCATCATTTTGATTGACAGGCATAGCCACTTAATTCACCTCTTACATCGACAATAGATTTGAGATCACTCAAGAGGCACATTAACAGGTCTATTCATTCATTCATTCGATTAGTCATCTCTTTATTCATTAAGTATCTATTGAGTGCTTGCTATGTTCCAGGCACATCTATGCGGAAGCTCATGTCCTCGTTTGGAGTTAGAAACCACCATCAGATAATTCTGTACAATAGGGCCTACATATTTTAATCCCCCGCTTGTTAAAAACAATATCTTTTTGTTTCTGTGGATTGTGAAAGAGCTAGTCCTAATCTGAGGGCATGTCGTCTACATGAAATAAATCACTGTTAGCGAATTGCCATGAAAAGAGAAACGAGACTATAACTCTCAGAAAAAATTCTGTAAGTACCCAATTTATTCATAAAACAATACAGTTGAAATATTTATGATTTTTTTCAGTCATACATTTTTTTTTACCATCATTCCCAAAATGTTGTGCATTTGGCTGACATGTATTTGCAAGATTAGGATCTATAACACTGGAAATCATACAAGGCATTTGCTTTGCTTATTAATACTTCCTCTCGCAACAAACAATGAACAGATCTATTTTGCCTTGTGATTTACCCCCTATCTCTCTCACCAAAAATAAATTCCGCCTTGTGCCTTTTATACCTGCAAAACACTTGTCCATTTCTCCGTGAGAACATTACCCAAGTGAAACATTCTTTCTTCTGGTTCAAGACTGGCCAGTTCATATCAAAACAAAACACCTCCACGCAAAACAATGATCCTAGGCATTTCTGCTGATAGACTTTGTTCTCAGGAGTGATAAAAAGAGGCAACAAGACGCCCCATAGTAAGCTTAAAGATCAACTTGGCGGGCCAGGTTTCTGGGGAGCCATACCGCATGGCCATTTGCCATGGATGAGTTTCTGTGGTTGTGGTCCCACCAAAGACTCTGAGGTCCTTCCTCGGGATTGACATAAAAATGGAACCATTCCCATTGAGGTTATGGGATGCCTCCTTTGAGAGGGCGGAGGCTGGTGAGGAGGAATACTCCCTAGTCTGTTTAAGGAAGAGGTGTGACTATAAAGCAGTGGGACTGATGGGTATGCAGCTTCTGGAATCAGTCTCACTACTTTTTATTCCCACCTCGGAGACAGGTGGGACTTTTGTGCTACTAGCAGGGGAGAAGTGCCCTTCTCAAGCAGACTAGGTGCTTCCCTGTGTCAGATGGTCTCTGGGATGACACCCTAGAGTCTAGAACCTCAGTATTCTTAAGTGTGGACTGCAATGGCATTACCTGGGACCTTGTTAGAGATGCAGAATCTCAGGCCCACGCACACCTGTTGCACCACCGTCTGACTTGTAACAAGATCTCCAGGTAATTTGTGTGCACATTAAAGTCTGAGAGGTGCTGGGCTAGGTGCTCCAGACCCACTTCTAGAAGACTATGTCTAGGTGGGTAAACCTCTTCTTCAATAAAGAGACCCTTCTTAGCAGGGAGGGATTATAGATAACAATTGCAAAAACAGTGTGGGTTTTTTTTTTTTATTTTAAACATGCAAAATACAGTCCATGCATCTGCCATTTTGAAAAGTCTCTCATCCTGTAACAGATAAAACCAAATTATGTTTTGGCTGTCAACGTTCAATAAATGTGTCAAAATGCTTTACAGTGTAAAGATAATAAGAAATTTAGCAAAATTTCAACAAACCTGTATAAAAAACAGATACAGATAACATTTTATTTCAAGGCGACATGCTGTAATGTAAAGAGTAAGTTATAGTTTTTCATGTTTCTTTGTAAAAAGTCTTTAACAATACAAGAGCTTAACAGATCCAGGCCTCAGGGCTACACATGCAAAAAAAATCGTCAGTTAAAAATCACCAAAACGTGCTATTTTTTAAATGTGTAAGTGTGTCTGTGTGTTTTTTAAGTACAGGAGTAGTAGAAGTATTAAATATTAGCAGGAATAGTATTTCAGAACTCTGTAAAAGTATGTGGAGTTCACGGTGCTAGTGTCCTGGAAGACTCATACATTTCCGATGAACATTTTGGTTTAATCCCTTTGCCATTGTAATAGTCCACGACTTGATTTGGGACTTCAGCCAACACGCTCTTTGCCAGGGCAGCTGGAGATGCCTGGAGGGAAGAAGAAATCACCGTGACTTTGGCACCTGGCCAAAGGAATCTGATCCAGAATCAGCATAAAAGACTGCAGTCTTGCTCTGAGCAGCTAGTCTCCCTTTCTCTCCTTCCTTCCTTCCTTCATTCATCCGATATTTGTTGAGCATCTACTCCAACCAAGAGTTGTCAGATTGTTGGAAAATGAACCTTTTATTTTATAATTATATTTTCCCATGCTTGTCTCAAAATAGAAAACTATTCACATCTGAAGATGGGGGAAAGTTGGAGGGCAGAATGAATTTTCTTTAAGTCCCAATTTGCATTCAATTCCAGGCACTGTGCTAGGGTTTATGGGTGTGTGGTTCCTGCCATTAAGGGAGTTATAATCATGAGAAGGGAGCCTGGTGTGGCCCCAATGAACACTGCTATACCTGCTACAGACCAGCAGCATCACATCACATGGGAGCTTAATAGAAATATAGAAGGCTAGAAGCATCCCAGAGCTACTAAACCATAATCTGCATTTTAACTCGATGCTCTAGGGTGATTCCTATGCATACTGAAATTTGAGCAGCACAGCTCTAGAGTCACAAACACCCTGGGACCAGAGCACAGAAAATGAAAAGACTAAGTCATCTTAGAGGAAATCACAGCAGGCTTCCAAGGGGAGGTGGTGTTTAAGTTGGGCATGTTTTAAAATGTAGAGAAGGGGAATGACATTTGATCATTCTAGGTACAGTGAGTCATCTGATGGGGCTAAAGAAAGTGTACGTGGGTGTGTTACGGATTTAGGATTGTGGGGGTATTCAGTTGGAAAATAAGCTTGTGGCCAGGCGATGGAGGGTCTTGAATACCACTAATTAATGTAACCTTTATTCTATCAGCATTATGATCCCACTGTCTGATTTGGGGCAGAGGAAGGTGGAGGTTGGTATTCTGCGTGACTCTGGAGTCATGCAGAGCTGGATCTGACTTCTGGCTCTGGCATTCGGTACTAGCTTTCCAATCCCCGGGCAAGTAAAATTGCCTGAGCCTCATTATTAGCTATTATTGAAGCCGAAAACTTGAAGCCGAGGGACCAGTTAATGGGCGTTTGAGATTCCTCAGCAAAGTAAAGAAAGGGCTAGACTAAATGCCGAATGACCTGGTTTCTTGCTCTTTCCTTCCTCATGTGGCTTGCTACTCAGCCATTCGACTTGGTTAAGCCCCAGTATTCTCAGAGATGAAATAGCAAAGAACAGGGATTGGTTTTATCTCACAGTTTTTAGGAGGCTCAAAAGAGAGACACAAATCTTAAAAACAATCTGAAAACACGGTGAGGGGTTTTTCAAAAGTGACCCCTCACATTTCAAAGATGTCCTAGCATATTGGGCACTTGGCATCCACAAATGCTCTTTTAGTTTATAAATGTCTGCTCAGGGTTGTGGATCAGAGCATGGTCCACACGTACACTAGGGTAGCTATGAAAGCCCCATTCCTACCATTTTCTCTCTAGCCACATCTCATATAAAGGCTAGAAAGCCAAATACTTAATTTCCCAGCCTCCCTTGCACTTAGGGATGGCCATATGACCCAATTTCTTTCTTTCTTTTTTTAAAAAATTTTTTATTTAAGAAGGCCACACGCCCAATGTGGGGCTTGAACTCATGACTCTGAGATCAAGAGTCGCTCACTCTACTGACAGAGCCAGCCAGGCGCTCCAATATGACCCAATTTCATCCTTTAAGACATGAGGATGTTTCCTGGAAAGCTTTTCTTTCTTGGTTAGAGGGGACAGACATGGTTGGTTCTGTTTTCCTTTCCTCTTCCTTTTTTCCTTGAACTAGAATGTAATTCCTGGAGCTATGGCAACTGTTTTATCATCACGAGCAAAGAGCAAGGGGAATCACCAAGTGCTCGCCCTGATACTATCAAATCACTGAAAAAAAGATGTGGGCAGCCACCAGTCCCTAACATCTAGTTACCTGAGAACACCATATTTGTCTTTATACAGTCTAGGGTTTCTCAATTTTGGCACTATTGCCATTTTGGGCCAGATAATTCTTTGGGTGGGGAACTGTCTTGAGCATTGTAGGATGTTTAGCAGCACTCCTAGCCTCTACCCACTACATGCAAATGGCACCCCAAAGCTGTCACCATCATAAATGTCTCCAGATGTTGCCAAAGTTGTCCTTGGTTAAGAACCACTTGTGCAATCCACTGTAAGATGGATCTGCTGTTATGTGAAGCCATGCTATCCCTCAACAGTACTGTCAAATAGAACTTGGTCCAGTGAAGGAAATACTGTGTATCTGCCCTGTCCAATGTGGTAGTCACTAGACACACATGATTATCGAGCCCTTGAAAGGTAGCTGGTGTGACTGAAAAAACTGAATTTTAAATTTTTTTCATTTTAGTTAATTTAAATTTAAATAGCCCCACGTAGCTATTTGTCACTGTATCTAGACAGCACAGTTTCTAAATGACTCTCCCACTCCTTTGCATATCTGGGCTGGTGGCTCTGGTGAGCAATTAGGACTTGGGGGCATTATCTGGTTGGGAACAGGCCAAAAAAGGGAAAGCAGCTGGTATCAGCAGCGGTATTTATTAACCACCTGCGACGACCAGGTGCTGTGCTAAGCTTTATATAGGCACCACGTTTACTCTTCTAATGTGTCTGTCATTTGCCTCATTTTACAGATGAAAGTCTGTGGCACAGAAAGGTTAAATAACTTGCCAGGAGCTACACAGCTCAGAGTCTATGCCCTGTGCACTTGAAAGCTTTGAGTTATCATGCAAAGGGAGGCAATTCATGGGTTACCGGCTTCCTTCCATTTTCTTTACTGTGTATTGAATTCAGAATAGGTAAGTTTGGATAATGATATGGTTTTCAAACTCTAAGCTGAAGTCCATGAAGATAAGGGGCGTGCTATGCTCCTGGTGTTGTTTTTGTCACCCACAGAGCAGCTAGAGTCTGTGTAGAAGACACCTGCGAGCAGGAGCCCACTCCCTTGCGCACCAACAGTCTGTCCTTCCTCTTACCAGCGCAAGCTGCCAGGCTTCTCTCACGGCTGCTCCTCTCTGCTCTCAAGTCCTGTAGCAACATTTGAGCCCCTTTTCACCACCCATAGGTTGCTTAGCACAGTTTTCTGCTGACACCTATGTCCCAACCATGTAATTCTCCAGTACGTTCCTTGGGGCCTGGATCCATGGCTTTATCATCTCGCTGTGCCCACAACAGGCGCTCCATGAATGTTTGAGAACAGGAGGCGGCTGGGGGAGAGGTTGCAACGTGCGTGGCTCTGTGGCTGTGTGTGTGTGTGTGTGTGTGTGTGTGCGTGCGCGCGCGTCTGCACATGTGTGTGCATGCGGGGACAGAAAGGCGGTGGTTTGGGGAAGTGCATGAATCTCCTAGGGAGTGAGCTCTTTGACTCCTCTCCATTCATGCAAAGTAATGGGTGGTGGTCAGTGATGTGGCTACTTCTGTCTGGCTGACAAAATGGGGCAGGACATGAAAATCTGGAAGAACAACCCCCTCTCCCCACCTTGGGCATTATGCAAGTAAGTCACTTCATATCACTTCAGTCGTGATGAACACGATTGTAGCAAATTTCACCTCTTCCTGTACATCCCTCCACATAGTGGATCCAGTCCTACGTGCAGACGACCTGAGGGCTTGGTGAGCCTCTTTTATTTAGCAAGTGGTTTCATTTGGAAACACTGCCCCCCCTACCACCCCAGGCAAACTGAAGGGGAGCTATGGTTGCACAGCTAGCCCCTCACCCACGCTTTTACCCCTGTGCTTGCTGGGGGCTTGGGTGTCACTTGGAACTCCCTTTGCATTCAACACTGTAGTCAGGGATTGATTTTAGACTCCTCTAATGATGCTCATTACACACAGTCCTCCCTAAAAGGAGAATCGCAATTGTGCGGCAGTACCATTATGAGCAATACCTTATTGTTCAGGGAGCCCTGGAGTGTTCAGGGATCTCGCTAAGTGGCCCCGGCAGGCCAAGAGATGTAGGGTTCACTGGAGGCTGCTGGGCTCATTATTTATCTGAATGTTTGCTTTAAAGCATGTCCCAAGAAGGTGGCAAACAACAATTTACAAAAAGCATATGCCAAAGGCTCTGACTCTGGTACTGGGACTTGTCGATAATCGACAATGGTCCAGCCATTGTTCTGCTCCTATACTTGCCTTACCCAGCGTAGCTGGGGTCCTGGCCTGAGCCCAAATTGGGATTCAGGGATTTCTGGACAGATCTGATAAAATGGCTAGGAGAGCGAAAGGGATTCATTTGAATGAGGGCTTTTGGCTTGAGGAGAAAGGTTTTTCCAGAAAATGTCAGGAGGGAAAGCTCAGAGTGGATGGCTCAGTGCCTGTCCCTTCCTCACCCTGACCCTAAATAACTGACTTCAGGCCTGAACACGGAGGGGCTGGAGAGGAAGTGAAGGACATTTGCAGCAGGGATCCTGGAGGTGTAGGGACACAGACTTCACCGCATTAATGGTCCAGGTGACAGCAGGGTCTCTGGAGCATGGAAAGGAGGGGACTCCTGTCATTTCCCAGGGGACTGCAGGGTCTCTTCAGGGCACTGAGGGTTCTGGAGATTCCCTCCTGCCGGGGCAGCTCCAGTTCAATTACCAGCCCTGGGAGCAGGCTCGGTGGCACCCCATGCAGAGAAGAGGCATAGCAGGGGTCGGGGATGATCTGCTCGGGAGTGGCTGCCACGAGGGGCATAGAACAAAAGAACACAGAGGACTGTCTGTGACGACCTATGTGACTCCCAGATACAGCTGGAGGAGGCTCCGAAGGCTTCTTCAGGGCCACTACCAAGCACAGAGGGAGCCTTTGGGAGAATCAGAGAGGGTGTCACCCTGGCCCACTGCAGCCCTAAGGGTGCAAGGTTTTGTGTAAATTTTAAAGGTTCCTTTTCAGGGCACTTGGGTGTCCCAGTTGGTTAAACGTCTGCCTTCAGCTTAGGTCATGACCCCGGGTCCTGGGATCGAGCCCCAGGTTGGGCTCCCTGCTCCGTGGGAAGCTTGCTTCTTCTCCCTCTCCCACTCCCCCTGCTTGTGTTCTCTCGTGCTCTCCTTCTCAAATACATAAATAAAATCTTAAAAAAAGAAAATAAAATGAAGGTGCCTCTTCTTTTGTGGAGTTGATAATTATCCCAAATTTGGAGATGCTTCAGGGTCGTCTGGGGACTGTGACACTGCTTGACTTACTATTTGTTATTGATGGGAATCCAAGACTGTAAAGCTAAATGTTAACTTGCAGAAAAGTGATAAGATTTCTGCCCAGTAGAGAAGGTAATCTAAAGATGATGATGATGATTTTTTAACCCTTTTGGTCATTAGCCAGTTTTGAATCTGCCTTAGGAAACTTATTCCAGTATTCCTGCCGCCCTCTCCCACCGCCACCACTGACCATAATCAACTATTTTATACCCTCCTTTGAACAAGCTTTGTCATCTTTGTGATTCCCTCACTAATGAGTTAAATAAATCTTTGATGCTGCCTACTGTATATTTACAGAGGATTTAGGTTATTATGATTTCAAAAATATACTTTTCCAAGGCAAACACAGGCTTCTCCCAGGGTACATGGCTTGACAAAGAGAACCCATGCTGACTTTTAGCTTCTCTTTGCTACTTCAGCCAGGCACCTTTAGGCAGAGAGCAACCCGCCCAACTGTACATGGAGCCCTGCATGCACTAGAGAGCCTAAATTACATGGATGAGGGCAAGCACCAGTGAAATGCTGGCTGCCACAGTTAGCGTGACTCCTCGACTATTACTTGAGTTACACGTCTTTCTCCAGAGAGTGAAGCTCTACATATCCTGGGTGTGAGACAGCCTGGCCTGGGCAGGGATAGCTGGCATTGCTTTACCCAGAACACTGGTAGGAAACTGTGGGAGTGAGCTTGCTTTTGTTCTGCTCTCCCACAGGAAGCCCCAGAGATATGCGTACGTGTTTGAAGTTCCTGAAGGGCACGAACTGGACGATGTCTCGAAGGACAGGCTCTCCCTTGGGTGACCTAAGAATGCCGTCATCTCCATCCAGCATCTGCATGTCACTGAAGTCCGCGTTGCCCACCCCGACGATGATGACCGACATGGGCAGGTGCGAGGCGTGGACAATGGCCTCCCGGGTGTCGGCCATGTCTGTGATGACACCGTCGGTGAGGATCAGCAGGATGAAGTATTGCTGGGGTTGACCAGAGGCCAGGTGAGCATGGGGACAGGGAGGTGGGGGAGACAAGGACAATACCTGTTATGCACCCGGGTGGCTTTCGTGTGTACTGACCACAGCGACAGTGCCGACAGACTTTAACGAGTCCTGTGTTGGCAGCCCTAAAGACTTAAGGCTATGATGAATGGAGCTTCAATGCAGGCATAGTAATTGTGGGTTAATTCTAAGAATCACCTTAATGACAGTTACATGGCACAATGTGGTGGACAGAGCAGTGGAGGGGAGTCAGGACAGGCTGGCCTCAAAGCCTCCATTCTCTGAGTTCCTGGGAAAACTTACCTCCTCTGGGTCTACACATCTTCATTTCCTGAGGAGTGGGACCAGACCTCTTCAGCTCAGGGAATTTTCAGAGTCCATAGCTACACTGCCCAATACAATAGCTACTAGCTCCATGTGCCTACTGAGCCCTTGAAATGTGGCTAGAGTAACGGAGGCACTGAAATTCGAATTTTATTTCATTTTAATGAATTCAAATTTAACCTTCAAAATGAAGACTTGATTCAGTTATTGGAAACCTTTTAAATACGTTTGGAACAACTCAGGTATGTGACTCTAGTTTCTCAGCTATTAATATAGAAAACCTAAAAAAGATCAAGTATTTGCAGCGATAATTTAGTATCCAAATTAAGATGATGTATTATAAAATACACATGGATTTTGAAGACTGAGTACAAAAGAAAGAATGTAAGATATTTTATTAATTTTTTATATGGAAGACTTATTAAGATGAGAATATGTTGGTTATATTGGATTAGACAAAATACATGATTAAAATTAATTCCCTCTTACACTGTTGGAGGTAATGCAAGTTGGTATAGCCACTCTGGAAAACAGCATGGAGGTGCTTCAAAAAATTAAAAATAGAGCTACCCTACGACCCAGCAATTGCACTCCTGGGTATTTACCCCAAAGACACAGATGTAGTGAAAAGAAGGACCATATGCACCCCAATGTTTATAGCAGCAATGTCTGCAATAGCCAAACTGTGGAAAGAGCCGAGATGCCCTTCAACAGATGAATGGATAAAGAAGATGTGGTCCGTATATACAATGGAATATTACTCAGCCATCAGAAAGGATGAATACCCAACTTTTACATCAACGTGGATGGGACTGGAGGAGATGATGCTAAGTGAAATAAATCAAGCAGAGAAAGTCAATTATCATATGGTTTCACTTATTTGTGGCACATAAGGAAGAGCATGGAGGACATTAGGAGAAGGAAGGGAAAAATGAAGGGCGGAAATTGGAGGGAGAGACGAACCATGAGAGACTATGGACTCTGAGAAACAAACTGAGGGTTTTAGAGGGGAGGGGGGAGGGGGGATGGGTTAGCCTGGTGATGGGTATTAAGGAGGGCACATTCTGCGTGGAGCACTGGTGTGATACGAAAACAATGAAGCATGGAACACTACATCAAAAACTAATGATGTACTGTATGGTGACTAACAACATAATAAAATAAAATTAAAAAGATTAATTCCCTTGATTCTTTTAACTTTTAAACATGTGGCTACTAGAGAATTTAAAATCGCATATACAACTCCATTATATTTCTAGTGGACAGCACTAGTCTAAAGCCTTGCTAACGGAGGGTGTGGGTTGCTGCCTCTTGCCCCAAAGGCCATACACCATGGTCTGGTCCAGTTTGAGTGTGCTTGTGGTGCTGAGCTCCTGTGGCTTCTTGCTCCAAGTCCCAGCTCCCTGCCTGCAGCCTGGCTAGCCTTTTTCCACCTGTATAGGCTGAAGGGGGCTCATCCGAGAGCAAAACTGGAGAAGACATTCTGTCTCCATCAGCACAGGGAGGGCTCACGACCTGCTATGGGGTCTGGAGAAGGAAGGCCAATTCATGCCAATCTAATGTAATTTTTGCAATATGCCCGACATCTGCAGGGGGTAAATGTGGGATTAGTAAGCCATTTCAAGTTGCCATATTTCAAAGAAGAAAGGCTGGATAGCCTAGCCACATTCTGAAAACATCTGGTTTTGAGAATCATACTTAAAAGGTTGCACACAGGCTGTTAATGTTAAAGGTTCCTGCTTTTCTCTGTAAGTCGGAAAAAATATTTTAAACAAAATAACATGTCAGAAGTGCAACTGGAGGGAACAGAAATTCACACTATGATGAAGACAGCCATATGTTTTAAATGCTTTCTATATAGTTTAATGTAAAGACTAATTCTGTTCCATGTCCACTAACTACCCATCCCTAGTTCTAGCTAACCAACCAATTTTCAAATTCATTCGAATTGTACATTTTCATCCCATATCCATGCTCTTTGAGTCATATACAGTCACAAAAAAGGTGGCCTGGGAGTTTAGAGGAAGGTTTCAGTAGGAAGACCTGATGGTGCAGCTAGGGAGGTGCAGAGAAGGGGCAGAAGGAGGCAACTTGGTGGTTGGGGATAGGGGGAAGGAGTGTGTAATACACCAGAATCATAAATCACCCTTCCAGGGTACACCTTGGAAGACCAGGTGGATGCCACACCTGGAGGGAAACCACTTCTGACTCAAGAGCAGATGGGCCCTTGCGTGAGTTACACTTCTATGTCCTCCTTCCTCCTTTCTCTACCTCTCGCAACTCCCGTTTGATTTGATCTTTGTGGTCCAAGGGTTGGATCGCCCCTACCTGCTCAATACCTCCAGGAACAAAACACCTGATAGCCACGCTACCACATCAAGAAACTTTAGAATTGAAATGGTCTAGAGACAGGGTTGGGAAAATATTTTCTGTAAAGGGACAATAATCAATATTTTAGGCTTTGCAGGCCATAGTGATCTCTGTGCAACAACCTAACACTGCTAGTGTAGTGTGAGAATAGCCATATTCATTACTTAATGTGAACAGGCATGGCTGTGTTCTGATAAAACTTTATTGATGGACACTGAAGTTTGAATGTCATATAATTTCCATGTACCATGAAATTCTTCTTCTTTGGATTTTTTCCCCCAACCATTTAAAAATGTAAAAGCCATTCTTAGCCTACAAGCCATTGATAAACATGCTATAGAATGCAGTTTGTTGACTTTTCATCTAGAGCAGGGATTTTATTTTATTTTTTAAAGATTTTATTTTTAAGTAATCTCTACACCCAACAGGGGGCTCAAATTTACAACCCCGAGATCAAGAGGTGCACGCTCTACCAACTGAGCCAGCCAGGAGCCCCTAGAGCAGGGATTCTTGACCTGGGCCAGTGGACTACTGAAAGATTTCAGACAATCTGTGAACTTGGGGTAAATTATATTTTAGTTTCACTAACCTCTAACTAAAATTTATAATTTTTTTTCAATTATAATCAACAAATAAAATTAGTTTTAACTGTGCTTGTGACTTAGTCACCAATAGAAATCACAGAATATTTTCCTATTATATTACAGTGACTGTAAATATCTTACTACATCATTTATATCAACACTACTTAGAAATGACAGAATTATTAGACTAGTTACTGGTTCTCATACTTTAATGTTAATAAAAGAAGCATTTTATTGCTATATTTATCATGCTTCTTAGCCACATTTAAAAATATTTTGCCGAATGCATTTCAATATATGTGATTTATTTATAATATATATTTTACTTTGCGCATTTAAAAGCATTTCTGAGAAGGGGTCCATGGGCTTCACCAGCTGTTAATGGTGTTCATGGAACAAAAAAGGTCCAAAACCACTGATCCAAAGAGATTGTCAGGATTCTAGAATCTGCTCCTTCAAGGTTCAATCTAGCTAAAGGTAATATGCTGCAGACTGCTGGATTGAAATCCTGATGGAAATTTCCAATAAGGTGAGCAGTAGTAGTTGCTTCTAAAGTCAGGCTAGAAAATGCTCACAGATGAAATATTACCGTCTTTGAATGAACTTGAGGTCCTGTTTAGATAAGGAGGGGATTTTTTTGTTTGTTTGTTTTTAATTTGTACAAGACTTCCACAAAAATCGAGAGGAAAATCTGACAGCCATAGACTCCCTGCACAACCTGCCAAAGAGGTTCAAGGTTAGGATCCTTAGCAATCAGTAATAGCAAGGGGCCCTGGACCACGCACTGTTCAAAGAACAGGGAAAATCTCTGGGGCAAAACATCAATGTTTCTGGCCTATAGGGTAAATTATTTGGGGCTGTGAGGATTAGAGGCTTCCTCCACCGATTCTTGACCTGCCCTTTCAGAGCAGACCTACCTAACCCCACCCCATAGTACAGATTTAGCAAGGACAGTCTATTTTCTTAAAATCTACTTTATATGTTGGGTTTCTGAGCCAAGTTATCATTTGAAGAATTTGAATTTGAAGTTCTGGTGATGAAAAAAAGTAAAAAAAAAAACATAAAATGGAATACTGATCCTGTTCAACCCTTATTTCTAAATCTTGCATCTGTGAGGATTCAAATTTGCTCCATGGCCTCTGTGCATTTGGCAAGATGGAGGTGTCATTGACTCTGAGAAGTATAATTTTCAGACAAATGTTGGGGAGGAAAGTCTGACTGGTATGGGTGGATGGAGACAGTGAGGGAGACTTTCCTTGTGCTTTGAAGGACAGTAAAGTAAGGGACAGTAGCTAAAGGGTTAAGTAGTATCAAGGGAGAGATTTTAATTCATAGGTATTAAAGCCTTTTTTATTTGCTAATGGGAATGAGTCTTCAGTAGGAAGGGGAAACAGATGATAAGGAGAGAAGGTGAACATAACTGCTGGGTCAATGTCCTTGGATAATTGAGAGGGAACGTGCCCCAGTACACAAGAGTTTGACATCAGATATGAACATGGTCCTCCATCCATTCTAATATGAGGACAGCTGAAAACCTGGGTACAGTGCAAATAGCTTGGATGAGTTCATGTCAGCAGATGAGGGAGACGTATATAATCTTCTTCATGCAAATTCAGTATCTTGGAACCCAGGATAAAATTAGAGACAATTTCAGACATCGGTAATATTCTACTAAATCTGAAAAAAAATTAAGAAAGCTAGAAAAGGACTATATTGATATCATTAAAAATGATATACAGAAAAGTTATTATGGTAATATGTTTAACTCTAAAATTTTAGGGGAAAAAAAACAAACTCTGTTTGGTCTTTTTGCCTTGGTTTGCATTTTTCTTTTTCTTTCTTTTTTTTTTTTTGGTTTGCATTTTTCTTAAGAAAACCAAGAACAGAATGTGAAACAAATCTTTGCCATGGTGTTTTGTGTTGTCGCATTTGACCACCGGGAGACAGATTCATCCATTGTTTTACTTCTGTTTTGCTTTGCTTTCATCTGTAGTATGGGTACATTGGAAAGGAAGCTTATTTTTGGACAGTTTTTTCTTCCCCAAGAACATGAGGTGGGTATGACCCATACTCTGGTGACTACAGTAGCTTCCATTGTTGAGTGTCTCCTGTGTTCAGGTAATGTTGCAGACATTTGAGATGTGGCCTTGCTAAGCCTCACAATAACCAGCAGAGTTGGGTATGATTATCTCCATTTTTCAGATGAGGAGACTGAGGATAGGGGAAGGTTAAGGCATTTGTCCAAACTCACACAGGTAGGAATGTTTGGATTTATTGTCAGAGTGGGATGGGTGCTAGGGCCAATATCCAGGTAAACGCCCATTAGCAGGAGGACCAGCCCTCTCCTTACCGATGCCTCCTTGGTGTTAGTCTCCTCTGATGCTGACTTGGCAACCTTCTGAATGATGGGGGCGATGTTAGTAGGACCGTAAAGCTGGAGCTTAGGAAGACAGCTCTGATAGGCCTCCACAACTCCTTGAATTCCTAAGGTGAAATCGGCAAAGATCAGTAATTCAGTAGTCCCCTCAAATATAGGTGTAATCAAACACACACAGAAATAAAGCATTCAGTTGCCCCCATTAGTCCTTATCAACATCACATTTACATCCTAAAGGTAAAAAAGAAAATACCACATCCCTGGTGTTGCCTACACTCCCGCTGCAATCATTCTCTTTAAAAGCTCAAGTCAAAAGCAACCATTTACACGAACTTTTCCCAAATGTCCCACTTTACACATATGATTTCATTAGATCCTCATAACATAACGAAATAGATGTTATACCCTTTTATAGGCGAAGAAACTGAGGCTCAGAGAGGTTAAATGATCTGCCTCAGGTCACACAGCAAGTGAGTTGTAGTCTCAAGATTCATGCCCAGGTCTTGTCTGGCTCTATCTAAGGGCTGTGCTCTCAGCCACTAGGCAAGTCAGCTTTCATGCTTCTCTAGTTTTCACACCACCTGCTGAGTCTCCTCTAGTATATACCACCCTGGGCCACCTGTAGGAGTCATGTGTACATCGCTTCATCATCATTATTTGATGGAATATGTCGAGGAATTTCTAGCTGGAAATAATGCAACACCGACCAAAGCCTTTGAGAAGGCTCTTTCTGGCACAAAAGCATAAAGCTACTTGTTTGAAGTCACATCCTTTGCTAGCATGTGGAAAGTGTCAAATGCTTTCCATGTTTCCCCCTTCCTTATTCCTTCACAGAGAGGAAGTTGTGATAAATAAATACATAATGAAAATTTAGAAAGCGGAAAGAGAGGTAGCTAATCACTGCCCAACAGGTATATTTCTTCCCCACGTTTTTTTTGGCCAGAGAAATCCAGAATTGGTATCAATACTCTTGCTGTAAGCTCAAGACCTCTTCTGCATTCTGTCTTTTATAGCTACTTTTCTGCTCTGTTATGGCTCTCCATTGCCTTTGGAGTAGCATGGTTTATTTGGATCCAGAAAGCCTACTTCTCTGCTGTGGACAGATGACTGTGGCTAACTGAGATGCTGCTTCAGAGCAGAGAGACTAAAATGGGAAAGGTACCCACGGAAGGGCGGTGAGACCTCAGCTTGCTTTTATGTGTGATTTACCTGCACATTCTGGGTTGTCTTCATTAAAGTTGATTGCAAAGTCGTGAGAGACCTAGACACCAATTAAAATTTTAAAAAGGAAGAAAAAAGAATTATAACTTTAATCCAGTAAGGAGGCACTGGGGTTTAGAGTTTGCAAACAGATGCCCACTACATTCATTATGTGTTAAGCAGCAGGAACCATTTTAAGCCTTTACACAATCAATCTGAGATGGAGGGTGAATTCTAAGCTCCCTGTGGAGTTCAGGTGACAGGAAGACTTTCTAGAATCAGATAAATGCTGGCAGGAGAGGAGAATAAGGCAAATAAAAAAGAAATCGAAGAAAAGATTTCTGAAAAATGTAACTCCAAATAGCTTCCAGATAGAACTGGCCACAGCCTGGAGGCTTAGATTTGGCTGAGCTCTATTTGGACCCAGTGATAAAAACAATGATAGCCCAATAACGCAAGCTGTCTGCCCAACATGGTGATGGTTATGAAGGCTCCAGCTAAGCTGTTGACATTTAAGAATCATTCTAACATGATATGCAGACATACAGGGCAGAAGGATTTTCACATATACACAGGTTAAAATAGACTCTACTCTTGGAAAAGTAATAAAGTAATACACCTTTTACTCTTCCAACACAATTTCCTCTACCTGGCAGGACCTATGCATAAGGTCAAAAAGGATATTGTTTACTTTTTTGTTTCTAAAACCTGATAAAACAAGAGGGATGTTCTGACATCTGGACATTTTTATTGGATCATCTGGAATTATACAGAAAATTATACAGACTTCCATTTCAAAGGCTATTTCCAAGCACTGACTCTTTTGGGGGTTAGAAGATAGGTCATTGTGTTAAAAGACCCCTCTTTTCTTAGTGTTGGTGCCCTACCCCACATTTCCTTGCCCTGAGCACTTCCAGGCAAGTCAGCTGACTTCCAACCATCTTACTTGCTTTATTGACTTTAAGACTTTCTCAGGCCTCCAGAGCCTGCTTTGCCTGCCTAGCTGTAAGTGTTGGGAAACTCATGTCCCTGGGGAGCAGCCCTTAATCACTCACTGGATGACAGGATATGGTGTATCAATACCCCAGCTGTCTTATCTCTTGGGGTCTGTGCATGCTCTACACTATCTCCCTGAGGCCCCCAGCAGAATTAAGTTCCAGTGCCCACAGTGGTAACTGGCTTGTTAGCATACCCTATGTTGACTTCCCCGTGTCCCCACCCTCTGTTGAGGTTTCCTCCACCTCTCAAATAAATAACTTGCATCCAAATCCTTGTCTCAAGGTCTATTCCCGAGAGAGTGCAAACTAAGACAGAGGTGCTTGTGGCTCAGTTTCAAGGCAAACTCTGAGATCTTATCCTAAAGAAGTCAATTGTGATAAACCCTCTGGGGGCATCTGACAGGCTGAGACCATCAGTGCCTGTCAGGGCAAAGGGGAAATTAGACATGGAAAAGGGGCATTTGCATGACTTTTCAAGAACAGCAATGAGGATATGGGAGGGATGCCTGTTAAGACAGCAGGAAGAATAAGTTAGCTGACAGGCAGCATGGAGCCAAGAGATCAGGTCAGCATGAGGACTTCAGAAAACAGCAAGAAGGATGAGTTACTCCAGGAGGGGGGCCAGGCAGATGTCACAGATGAGATAAGGAGGGCATGAAACAAGTGTACTGCACACCTCTGATCTTAGCCCTGTTGGGCCAAGCTGAGACCAGAAGATTACCTGGTGGGGATGGGGTGGAGAATGCTCAAGCATCTTTGGGTAGTTGGACTGGTGGTTGTTTTTATGCTTCTGTTTTTTTTTAAAGATTTATTTATTTATTTGAGAGAGAGAGAGAGAGGGAGAGAGAGAGAGAGATGGGGAGGGTGGGGGCAGAGGGAGAGGGAGAGAGAGAATCTCAAGCAGACTCCCTGCTGAGTGCGGAGCCCTACACAGGGCTCGATCTCATGACTCTGACATCATGACCCGAGCTGAAATCAAGAGGTAGATGCTTAACTGACTGAGCCACTCAGGCGCCCCATGGACTGGTGGTTTTTGAGGTGCATTTCATTCTCAAAGCTCAGCAGCTCTGGGAAGAAGGTTGGCACCCATTTGCCCACATTCTGGAATTGATACCCCATCTAAAGGGGACTGCATCTCCTCAGTTCTGGCTAATTCTTGCATGTCTAATCTTTTAATCTTAGTGTTGCCAGGTCTTTTAGTTTTTCTGGAGAAGCAAGAAGTGTGACATTGTATATGAAATTGTATAATTCTTAAAAAAAATGTGTGTCAGATATAATACACTTGTGGCCTGAATAATGTCTACAGGCCACCAGTCAGCAGCTCCTGTTCTGTGTTCTTCCTCCCCATGTGCTCAATTTCCAACAAATGCTTCTAAAATTCTGTAGCCATGCCGGGCAGGGAAGGCAGTGTGGGACATAAGGCGAACAAGAAAGAGGACAGGTCAGAGAGACATGCCACTCTATCCACTGCTCACTCCAGCAGTAACAGGGATATGGATTCCCCTTTTTCAAAAAGGACACAGGAGGCGAAAGCCCTCAGTCTGACAGCTCTGGTGTGGGAGCAAACGTCAGCATTTTTCTCCTGCATTTTACTCAATCAGTAAAAGAGAAACTGATGACTGAGCAGTATTGCTTCCACTTAGCTTGTACCTCAGAGGAATTGGTGAGGCTGGGGTAGGGACCTTGCTGTCTCTCCAAGGCCCTTCTACCTGTGGGAGCAGAGTTCTCTGTGGAAAGTGTCCCACAGAAGCATCTGGTATACCACAGCACAATGCCTCAGCTCCACTGCAGTGCAAATCTCTCTTAACAGTCTTTGCCTTCCTTGTTCATGAGAAATCAGTATCAAATAGGACTCCAGTGTTTTCACAGAAACCTTTCAGTTTCCCAATACTCGAAGCCAGAGTGATTCTCCTTCAGGACTTCACTGTGTCTCTCCCCACATAGGCCTGGGGCTCAGAGACTTGGAATGAGGAGTCTGCAGATATCCCTGTCATGAACTTCCACCATTGGCATTGTCAGTAGGACCTTTCTCTGGGGGATACCTGGATAGATAGGTTCTGAGCCAGTGGAGATCAACTTCCTGAGTGTTTTCTCAGTCTCTGACCGTATCTATTAAGAAGCTCAACAATGGTACCCCTCATTTGGGTCTGAGAAGACCCATCCAGAATACAGGAGATTGAATTTCATCAAAAGATAGGCTCCAGTGAGCTAATCCCACTGGTTCTGAAGACCATTTCTGAGTTTTGGGGCTCTACTTACATAATTTTATCAAGGGCCAAAAGAGTGAACTCCTATGAGGGAAACCCAAGTCATCCTTTGGCTACAGCAAAGGTTCTCTACTCACTCACCGTGTACTCTGGGGGTATCCTGGCACCAAACCCAAAGGCTGGGAACATTTTGTCACTGGAAAAAAAAAAAGAAGTTGCTTCAATTGTTCATCTAATGAGGAAGAAAAACATGAACCTGCATTACCTCACTAGGACATGTTACTATGTCAAAATGCTGACTCATGCTTCTTGATTATCTGTGGTAACAGGGGATAGCAGTAGCATGGGTAATTAAAATCAAGAAGGAATCCCCAAAGTGCTTTATAGTCATTAGTCTGCAATTTCTTCCCATAACTTTCTGCTAGATTTGATACTAAGGAATAAAATGGCCCAGGATTGCCTCACTTCCCCTACCCCAGTTTTCTGTCTTTGAAAAGTGGTCATGAATTATGTAACTCCAATGGTTGACTATTAGGGTTTTTCATATATATTATCTTTTAAAATCTTTGTAGGGAGAGACCATTATTCCCATTTCCCAGGTGGGGAAATATCTTGGGAGGTAAAGTGACTTATCCAAGATCAGGCTGCTAGTTAGAGCCAGGATTCAAATCCAGATGAGTCTAAATCCAAAGAGATATTAAAAATCAATGGGAAGCTTGGAAGGCTGGCTAACTGTCAGCGCTTGGTTCCATCTACAGGACTCATTGCATCCATTATTTTAACTCATACAAACAATATAAACTGTTTATATGTCTTTTCTTATTTCCTGAATGCAAAGGGATACTGGTTTTGTTTTTTTTTCTGCATTAATATCTTTCCATCTCCACTGCCTCTCTGTCCCAAATTGCCCCTTGACCCTCTTTTCAGCGTATTTGCCATAGAGTATGGGCACAATAAATATTTAATGACTAGACAACTCATGAATTGAATCATGGCTTGGTTTCTCTTATGCATATTGAAATTTCTCTCTTAATTTATTCATTTATGTATGTTGTATTAACTCCAACTTTACTGTACTATAGGTGAGATGATGGGGAGAAGAATTAACTTTAATTGGCACGTACAATGTGCCGGGCATGATGTTAGGCAATGCACATTTTTATTTAATTCTCACGCAACCCTTGAAGTTCCACCTACTTATTATTCCTGCTTATAGATATATAAACTAAGTCTCAGAAAGGCTAAGAAAATGGCTGAAGGTGTTTACCAGGGAGGACTGTGTGATTCTAAAGCCCATGCCTTTTCTGTTGTCCCATTATAATTCAATGATTTTATTTGGCATTAAATGTAATTTCCTTCTGGAACTTCCAGTAACGGGGCCCCCTGACCAGACAAGTAAGACTCTCTTTAGGAAAACTTTGTTGCAGTGGGGCTCTGGAATATTGAACTGAATATCGATTGAATGTTGATATGCCTCTTGGCAGAGGCATATCCTTCTCATGCCATCTGCCTTTTACGTTCTCTCCCATTAAAAATACAACTGAGATTTGTTCTTGGAACAATTCCTACATGTCTCAGTTCTTTGCAGAGTTAGTCAAGGAAAAAAGGAAATTCAGATTTGGGCTCACTGTCCCTGAATGGCTCTGTCAACCAAAGGGGACCTCTCAAGGCTGACAGGGAAGTCGAAGTACTAAAGTACCAAAGCCATCACCATCCAACAGACGTAGAGGTCATTAGTAGCCAATGACAGCTTTGATAACACTTCACCAAAATACAGCCAAGTTGAGCAAATTTGGGGTAGGGGTTGGGAGATACAAGGAAGCCAGCATTTTTGGAATTAGTCAAATTCTCTAGAAAACTACCAGCTCTCCCTTTCCCTCACTATTGGGGAGATACAGGCTTTGTGGTGCATTTGCACCTGGCATGTAGTAGAAAAGGTATTAATACTGGTAAATAGAAAAACACAATGTCTTATGAAGGATTAGCCACAGCTCTAAGAAAAAAATACTTCTGGTCCTTGGAAATACAGAATTACATTGCCTCAGTAATTCTTCCTTAACCGAGACAAGCGTGAGCAGGTATGAAAAGGAATCTGTGAGAGAGAGTTCACAGGTGCTTTCAGGGTAAGTCTGGAAGAAAATTTTCCAGGGTGGAGAATGGGTCCTGGTTCTTCCAACCTGGAGATGGCTCAGAAGTCAAAACAGAAACCTAGGAGGCTCCATACCTTTTACTTTTTTATTTGATGAGTTTAGAAAGGGTGAGATCTAATATTCCAACCATTTCTAATCACCAAACCAATGTTCCAGCCTTGATGATATTCTTTTTATACCTTCTAAGCTACCCCGGGGGATTTGAAGTTTGCTGAGCATGATGCACTGTTATGTAACTGAATTTCAAGAGCAGGGAGGTAGGGGAAATGCCTCACCTACAAGAGGAATAATTAATGACCCAGGAGCGCATCCACTCTCTGAAGTTAGCCACCACAAAGTCTCTAACCAACGAACATACCAAAGAAAAATTTTCAAGCCTAAGCACAATAGATTTAAACGTCCATGCTTCCTGATTAAAAATAAAACTAGGCAGAGCGGAGTGTTATGCAAGAGGCAAGAGAAGGCAGGTTGAGCACACAAGCAAGCATTTGTACACCAGCACATCAAAGAACTTGAGATTGAATCCACTCAGCACTGAGAAAAGGGGCCACTCTGCAACTACTGGGAAAATGATCAGTGGAACTTGCCAACTTGGAAAATTCAATATTACCACATTGATAAAGGCAATCTTTTATCCTTACTGTTGGAATAAAACAGTATAAAATACAATAAAAGAGCCCATAGTCTTCAGTGGTAATGAGCATGCGTTCCTGAACTTGTTAGGGAATGACCTTGGTCAATGATGTCCAGACAGAAGATTCATTTTCAAGCACCATTTTTACCCTCCTGTTAAGGAAGACTTTGGGATGAAGAAAGACAGTAATAAAAATAAAGACAAATTACCTCATCCATAAGGAAACAGAGGCTGACTGACTCAGAGCAAAACAGCATTTTGGAACACCTAGACATTTAATTAAGACTGTTCTTTTAGACAGTGGTCTTAACACTGGGGTACATGGAAATACAAAGCCTTTCTGGAGTAAGGGAGCATGGCCTTTTTTTTTTTCTTTTTAAAGGAAATCAGTATTCAGTTTCTCTACTTTCATATGTATTCTCTGTTGAAATTGATCTTCAGGGAACACCTGTAATAGAAAGACCTGCTCTCCATTCACACCTTCCCTTTCACAGTTCTCCTTCTCCTTACACACTCTGAATCTTAACCACAATGGTGAATTGTTCCAGAGTGTAAAAACTCTGCGGTAGAAAATAAGGGACCTAGGAAACAAATCCTATTGCAAGTCAGATAGTTGCTAATTTTTGCTTTTAAAAATTGTAGGAAGTGCTGATATCAGCTGGTAGATCATTAAAAATACATTTTGGTGATAAACGATTATGTGATTTTTTTTGATATATAACCTCAAACAGAAAGAAATAAGTAATACTGCTAGTCAAACTCTTTTCATTACCATATACTTATTTATAAGAACAAGTTTTCTCAGTATTTATATTGATAAAAACAAAAAATCGGATTAGAATTGATGCTAGACTCTTCTATTCTAGTACCAGGTAGCATTCATCTATAGATATGTAAACTACTTGGGAAAAAAACTAAAAGTTTTTATTTTTTATATGCAATAATTATATTTATGTTCTTTTGATCAATTATGCATTAATGATTGTAATAAAGACTCAAACAGAAGATTTTTAAAAATCTTTTGAGTCTTTTCAACACAAAATTTTAGAAATTAGAAATTTTAAAATTTATATTCCTATTTTTATTGTAGAAATCAATAAAAGGATTTTGAACCAAAACCTTAAAGAGACATTAGGATGAAATTCTTTGGGGGAGGGGACTGGAAATACAGTTTCATGAAAACGAAGAAATAATTAAAATTCTCAACTCCAGCTAAAGAACTTGTTCACGCATTTTTTAAATGGGTGATGGTGAGTATCACAGAGCTATGGTATTTAGATCCTACTAAATGTATTGACAGGAGTTATGTAAGAGTTTAGTTTTAAATGTCCATATTTACAATACACCAGGATTTTTGGTCTTTGTCATTGTTTAAACTCATGATGGAAAACATTAGATATCAATGTAAAAATGGGTGAGATTACACATTTTTATAAAATTCTTTTTAGGAGTATATGCCCAAACTAAAAATTAAAAGTTATTGGTCCAAAATGTCCTTTAGATCTGACACTGTAATCCCTTTTTCCTTTTGTGTTCAGTTTATTTTTAAAACTAATTAAGAGTATCAAAGATAATAGCCTCCATCATTTACTGAGTGTGACAGGCAGAACATGCGCTAGCTAGCCACTTTATATCTAATCCTTACAACTACTCTGCAAGGAAAGTTTGATAAATCTTCCATTTGAAATCAAGGACATCAAGGCCCATGGAATGGAAGGAAACCTCAGAACAGAGGCAGCAGAGCTGGGGTCTGAACCCAGGGTCTACCTGTCACTAGGACCCCATGCTCTTTCCATCACCCCTATTGACTCTGCCCTTTGTAGGAGGCTGGTCTGGTCTAAAGACTCAGAATAATAAAGATAAGTCCATCCATGTTCTAAAAACAACAAAGGATGGAATTAGCAGAATTCTGAACATCCCATAATTTGCCATCCTCAGAAGGCCTTCCTTCACTACCTTGGAAACTCATGTAGGAAAGTTACTCCTTCTCTTGATGCAGTCCCCGTCCTTACACAGGGCAAGCTGCCCTGATTATGCCGGGCTGTGGTTTATTTATATGGCTTTTTCTCCCTGAGACTGTGAAGCAGCTGGGGGAAATTACACTCTCTTAATTTGTCTCTGTCTTTATGGCACCATGTGAGGCACCCGGAAGCCAACAGGTGCTGCGTAGTTGCATCTGACCCATCTAACTGATTTAACTCTGGATCTCAACTTGGGATGCCCATTAGAAAAATGCCCATGAAAAATCCTGATTCCTCAGGATGTATACCAGACTAAATCAGGCTCTGGGGTGGGGCCCAGGCATCAGCATATTTTAAGACTTCCTGAATGATTCCAGTGCTCAGCCAAGGCTGAGAGCCACCGACTGGTGTTTGTAGAGTGGAAGGAATGGCACTGTGATACAAACCTATCTTCTGATTCTAAACCCAATACCTGTCAGATGGGGCATCAGCCCTAACTTTGCCTCCTAGCACCACCATGCAGGAGGACTCCTGCCTCAGATGTGGGGTGGCCACATCCATGAAATGGCAGTCTATGCTTCCAAGCAATAGATTCAGTATCTATAGTCTCTTGATTAGCAGAGAGACCGGCCTTTTGTTGGAGGACACGGCAGGTGGTCAGAGACCCACATCTCTGCTGGGCCCAAGGAATGGATGTCACCTTGGTCTTGAGCAGCCTGAACAGGAGTTGGGCAAGTGCTACAACCGACAGGGAATGTATGAGCTTGTGTGTGTGTGTGTGTGTGTGTGTGTGTGTGTGCGCGCGCGCGCGTGCGCGCGCACGCGCGCATGCACGCATGCATAGATGTGTGCATGCTTGGGGGGTCCAAGGGGAGAGTATGGGCAGTGTTCTCTCTCTCCAAGGCACGGAAACAGGGAGACAGAGCGGGCAGTCCTGTCAGGACTGTCTTCTGGGCTTAGGCCTAGATATCTGTGGAAAAGCTTCCCCTTCAAGGCCACCCTGAGAAGGGCTTTATGGCCCTTGCAAGCTGTTCTACTTCACTGATCACCTCGTACTGACCCCTCAGCAATGACTGTACAAGGCAGAAAGAAAAACCCCAGGCTGTCAGAGGCTGGGAGCAATTTCTAAGGCTCATGGGGATTAAAAACCTCTCTGTCGCTGCAGGAGGGGGTACGTCGCCTTCTGTCAGTTTTTATTCAAGTGTTTCTTTTGAACATCAACCTCAGTGACTTTGATGTGAGAATAAATTAATTCCAAAGCCCCAACTTGAAATTTCCTGACTCTGCCTGTCTATTGTCTATCCACCCACGCAAAGGAGAAACTGCGGAACCTTGTCAGTTCTCAAGTGAGCAGCTTGCATTACACATTCTTCCAGGGAGTCTTTCAAAAGAGCGCCTGGGCTTTTCAGGCCTTTTCCTCCTTAGGTATTTGCCCTTTTAATGAGGAGCTGCCTTCTTTATGCATATACGTATATGTATACGTATACATAAAGCTCCACTGGGCTGCAGAAGCCTGATTTTCCTGGACAGTTGGGCCGATAACTTCGGGATTATCCTATTAAAATTTTAAAAAGAATCATTTACAATAATTCTTCATGTAACTCCTAAGGTGTCAGATCTTAGTTTTATATTGAATCTGTATTTTTGCATGAATACAAAACACTCTCTGGGCTTTGCCTTTGCATGGCTTTTATGTTTTAAGGGGATAATAGCTCTAAAAGATGTATGGGTTACTGGGGTTGTAGTATCTTCATCTTGCGTATGAGGTCACCAGAAAACAGGGATAGTTCAGCAGCTTGTTCCAGATCATCCCATAAATCTGCTGCAGAACCACAGCCAAGACTCCGGGCATTGGCAGCTTAGTTTCTGGTCAACCCACCAATCTTCTCGCTGGAATGCATTAGAACACTGCCTTCTCCCCTGAAGAGAGTCAACATTATTGTTAAGCATCTATTTATTGTATTGTACCGAGTGCTTTACCTACTTTATTTCTTCGATGAGCATGTCAGGATTTAAGTTACTAAGAATCCTGTAGATATCCACCTCCCCCTTCTTTCTTGCTTCTTATGTATACACTAGTACAACAAATCATTTGTGTGCCTATTAGAAAGGAGAGATGACTGTTTTGCTGTCCTGGGGATGGCTGAAGAAGTTTCTGGCAGTGGAGATGCAATTTGTCAGTTTTTTCTTTCCTTGGTGGAACTCTCCATATGATATATACCCTCTATAGGAATACTCCATGTATTTGGGCCAAAAGAAGTCAGAGCTGAAATTCAAGTTGTCTTCGTAGTCAATATCTCAAGGTTAAGTGTAAGAAGTATCACTTGGACAAGGTAATTTAAAATGCTATTGCCCTCTGTTCTAAAATGTACAAGAGGGCAAGTGTCAGCAAGGGCCTGAGTGTTTAAAGAGTGTTTAAAGTTGTTTCATTTTACTGGACCTGTTCATTCAGTCCCCAGCTGCCCTTACACCCAGTTGAGTTACTGGCAATGACCAAGCCGAATCCAGAAAATCACCAGCAGGGAGGACACTGATGACACCCTTCTTATCACCTGTCCTGTTGGTTTCTCTGCACATTGTGGTCACTAGATTGTCTCATTCCCTATACTGCCTGGGGCAACTGATTTTTAATGGAACTACCACTAATTATGAGACTAGGAAGAACAGAAATCATGCTGTCCTATACAATTTCTCTGAAACTGGGGGACAGAATCACTTTATTTTCCTGATTCAAAGGATTAGTTAATTTGTTGCTTCTTATTACTAACTAGCCTTGTTTGACAATTACACTAAGGACTCAACTGAGATTTACCCATATTTATAGTTACATCGGTTCTACCTCAAAGAACCTTCTTGAACATGTGAACAACTTCACCTCAACCTGGAAATACTGAAAAGGCAAATTAAATTCAGTTTAATGTAATTTACATAAATCACAATTCTCTTGGTGGGAAAGGTCAATATTTACCATCAAGAAAAAATAAATGTAATATCGATCTGATCCCCAAATCATGTTTTCTATATACACACATACAAACACACACAAACACACACACACACTTCCACGGACACACACACATGCACGTGAGCAGACTCATACCCTCTGCTAATGTTACCAATAACCCTGAAGTCAGTGAAACACCATGATTATGAGCTTTAGCGGTGGAATGAATTAGATCTGCATTCAAATCCTGCCTTGGGCTGAGTGAGTGCACAGATTGCTTAACCTCCCTGCACAGTTTTCCTCTCCTGTTAAATAGTGCCTACTCCATAAGGCGGAATGTGAGGATTAGATGCAATAAGGTCCAATAAACTGGTGTTTCTCAAACTCCAAAGTGCACACAAATCATCTAGGAATCTTGTTAACATGCAGATTTTAATTCACTAGGTCTGGAGAGGGGCTCAAGATTCTAAATTCCTGGGTGGTGCTATGCTGCTAGTCCATGGACCAAACTTTGAGTAGCAAGACACGTTCTGAAACTTCACAAAATGCAAGACAAATAAGAAAAGAAAGCCGAGAAAGGATTGTGTGTGTGTGTGTGTGTGTGTGTGTGTGTGTGTGTGTGTGTGTTTGAACTCAGCTTCTCTAGGTGTGGAGAGGATAAAATGTTTGGGCAAGCTTTTATCCTGTTCCTTCATGAGCCTCAGTATGGGTAGCTGCTGGACTTAATTTCCATTTTTCTGCCAAGGATCAGCTAGGGACCATCAGAATCCACAGAGAGAGAAGGCCTGAGCCAACCGGAAGTCCTGTACCTGTCATAGTCTTGGCAGATCTCCCCCACAGCCACCAAGGCTTTCAGGTACTCGTTGGGTTGGTAAGGGTGGATGTAGTGCAGGGAACAGCTGTTCCTGGGGTCCCCGTTTGAGGCTGTGAAATCTATAGCTACCTGGAAGAGAAAATAGGAGAATGGGTAGATTAAAGTGAATGCATCTCATAGGAACTATGATCAGCCACACAGAAGACATGGCTCAAGATGGAAAAAAGCAGCACATCACATACCCTGCCAAAAAGGAAAGTTATTAATGTGGTTGAGGCCATTTCCATAGTCTTCAATTGTCCTCTCTCCCAGTGCCGAAACAGAACTTGAGATGGACATGTCAGTCAGAAAGGCCAGCCACTGCTGATCCACATCACCAAGCAGCATGAGGACGGGTGGAATATCTGCTCCCCAGTTCCTAATTCACTAAGAAAAGCCTTCTCTGCTCTCCAGGCAGGACAATTCCATCTCAGAGGCAGATGTAAAATCCCTCAAAACTAAATTCTGTGGGGCTCCTTGCTCAGCAGAGAGCCTGCTTCTCCCTCTCCCTCTGCCTGCCGTTCTGCTTACTTGTGCTCTCTCTCTCTGTCAAATAAATAAATAAAATCTTAAAAAAAAAAAAAGATGTGGTCTATCTCCAAAAGCCATAGTCATATTTTTGTGTGTGGTGAGTTGCAGAGGTGTGTTGAAGTGGTTATAATAAATTTTCTGCAAGCAGCAGCTTTGAGTGAGGCATTCAGCTCTTGGTTTCCACTCATGTGAGAAGTCCTGCCTATAACAGAGAAGGCTGAGTGCTATGGCATCACGACTGGGAGGTAGAGAAGAGAAACCTCTGTCTTGTCACCGAGTAGATATTATCCTTGAACTTCTTAAATTTTTTTTGGCCCCTGGCATCATTATCTAAATAAGAGTTGACTCACTTAACACTCTTAACAACAACAAACAAAAACTAAAGACTCAAGCCTGGAGAGTGCTAAAATGGGAAGGAACATTTCTTCTGATTTCCAACAGGATTACCATTTAAATAAAAGTTAAAATAAAAGAAGTTGTAGGAAAAGAAAGAAATGTTCATGTTATATCTTCTCTTTTTCTTCAGGGCCTGCCAGAATCTACTCATGGGCTTACTTACTAATGACAGAAAGGCTTTATTTTCTCTTATGATCTTGTGGGTGGGAAATGTTATTTGTATACTATTTGACAAAATTCCATTATGATACATAATTGGAATGTCCTATTAGATTTATTTAGGGGGAATGTTACTTCTGGAAGGACAGAGAAAAGGTGCTATGTGTTTTGTTTCTGCTCCTGAAAGATCAGCCTGTAAGAGTAAGGCGGATAGGCAAGAATAGCCCCCATACCTTATATTGTGATGCTGCAATTGAATCCAAGTGACTAGAAGAGGAAAAGTGATAGGCTAACAGCTCACTTACAACCTTTCTTTTTTCTTTCGTGAAGTTATCTTTTTCATCACTGATTTTGTGTCCCCTTTTCTTCCTCACCCCTCCCCAGGACTGTGTTGAAAAGAAATTTAAGCAGGATTCAAAATCTATTTTCAGAATACCCTGATGTTTTCAACAAAGGGAGTACCAGCTGATAAAATGCTAGTACTAACGGTGTTTCAAAAGGAAAGGTCATGTGGAGAAACATCACACAGTACTTCCCTAACCCTGAGATGCCCTTGCCCAGATAACAAAGGGACGAAGAGAGGAGTAACCTTTGTTAAAACCCTACTCTGTGTCAGACACTGTACGATCTGCTTTCCAAGTATTGTGTTATTTCATTTTCATTAAAAAAACTCTAGGGTGCAGAGATTGCTATTCCTTTTTATTGATGAAGATTCTGGTGTCCAAAGGTGATGAAGTTTGCTGGGGATGGAGCTGGGTTAAAACCCAAGTCTATATGCCTCTGAAGACTGCTCCTCCATTATGCCATTATACACCCAAGAGAACATATATGGCTGTGGCTAACATGCCAAGATGTCACATGGCTACGTTTATTCCTGTAAAGAACGGAGGTGATTTAGCCTGGAAGTAGGGAGACTAGCTAGTGGCAACTAGAGTAATTTAGGAGAGATGAATGGCTTTGAATGTACAGCTATTTGTAATCAGAACAGTTGTAAAAGGTAGGAAAAGAGCAATTAAAGTGTGCGTGTGTGTGTGTGTGTGTGTGTCTGTGTCTGAGTGTAATAGGGAGAATGTGTTACTGAGGATGACTGGAGGTGATCTAAGAGGACCAGCAAAATCCAGCATCTTCTGAGATAGATTCCAGCCACAAGGTAAAAGTCAAGCCACTGGAAAAAAGAGGAAGACAATAGGTGAAGGTCCTTTTAATCAAGGACTGTGATGAAAAGGTCATGTGTCAGGGGCCTCCATGTATTTTGTGAATAAGAAGGAGATGTGAAGCACTCCAGGACCCACCCATGGGGCCTCAAACAGACAGAGGTCCAAATACATGCAGATTATTTCTGGAAAACTTCTCTAAGGAGAACCCTTAGGAGGTGCTTGAGAGACAGTGTCTGAAGAAACCGTACAGCTAGGGTCCTCCTGGTTTACGAAGCTCAAGCATGCAGAGTCACCATTCTCAGCCTTTTGGTCCTGACAAGACACACTTAAGGGGTATGAGCACCTCCCACACGTGTACATGGCCTTTAGAAGGTAAAAACAGTGCTGGGAAGACCAGATGTAAAGCCACCTCTTTCCTACTGAAGAAAGCATTTTAGGACTCTAGAGAAGTCTAGAGAATGTGAGAATGTTGTTATGGAGATAACCTTGATTCTGCTCCAATTTATCTAAAATGCAAATCACTGGCAGGTGTCGAGATGTTGTTATTAATAGCTAGTACCGATGGCTCACATCAGTTCTGTTTAAGATGCTCTTCATCATGGATTGCCACAATCCTCTGCCTGTGCTTCTTGATGCTGCAGTTGAAAATTGTCCCATGTGCTGATTACCTGAGTGTCAAGGGTATTCCATGGTGACAAAAACATGCTGGTGTCTTAATATAAAACCAGAGGATGAAACCAGGTAATAGGCCAGAAGGGAAAACCTCCATAAAAAAAAAAAAAAAAAAAAGACAACTCAAGAAACCTAAATGTTCCTCTTATCCTCCCCAGGCATGGGCATGATCCTCCAAGTATGCAGGCACCAAGTGACAGCATCCAAGCCTGGGTGTATCACCTGAATGAATATGTTGTGTTATGGGGAGAAGTGTGTATAATGTCTAGATGAACACACACAGATTTTGGCAACAATATATTTTAAAATAGAGCAACATATCATTGGGTTGGGACTAGGGGAAGGCAAGGCAAGAGAGATGAGGGCATACAGTCAAGAAGGCATTCATTCCCAGCTGACCCTACACTTGCATGATCTTGAGAGTGAGTGCCTCCTTTTAAATCTTGGACCCTAGGTGCCTCTCTTGCTTCATCCTCATTCTGGCCTTGTTGGTCATTTCATTTCCTATCAACTCTTCATCCTCAGGCTTGGAATAATTCCCTTACGCTTAACAAACTAGTGTGGGGCAGAGGTGATAGTGAGAAGGGGATTGTGACCGAAGAGATTTAAGGTAGAAAATGAAGAGGATTTGGTGACTGATGGATGGCAGTTAGGGAAAAGGAGTGGCTACGTTTCTTTGGAAATGGAAGAGATGACACCTTGAGGATAGTAGAAGCATCTGAAGATCACCGTTAGGAGCTCGGTGTTGGGCTGCCTGCTCTTGGTGGTGCTGTGTAGACATATGAACGGGCCTGATGGAAATTTTACTTTTTCTCTGCAGGCAGACGTCTGGGGGCAGCGGGGGTGGGGTGGGGTGGGCTTCCACTTTTCCCACGGGGATAGCCCCAGTGTCTGTGACAACCACAGAGGCCATTCTAGCTCCAGAGATTCTGATAGAACTTTGGGGAAGGGTATGAACTTACAAATAACCCGGTGAAAAAGGAAGTAAAGCAATGATCCTTACCACCTACCCCTTTCTGTAGTTTCCACTGCTCAGAACAAAAATATTTTATCATTGACTAGACAGCCATGGACGGTCTTAAGGACATGAAGCTGAAAGATCTTTTTCCCGGCAAGTGATGGTTTCTCAAGTCTCCCTGATGAAGCTGGGGATAAAATATCTTCAGGAGGTGGCCTTCTACCAAGAATTCTCTGTGCTCTTTAAGTTAGCATTAGTGGAAAGAGAACAGAGTGAAAGGTTAGGTTTATTTTAAAAAGCAACAGGGAGGCAGTGAAAGACGGGATTAAATTGAGAAATAAAAGCAAGAAAATGACTGAAAAATGCCAGTTTGTGGAGGTGGCCACTGATGCCTGGCTTTCTGAATGCTGGTGAGCTCACAGGGCGGCCACGTTTTCATTTGCCGATAGGAAGCATTTACGAAAGCCTGTGGTTCCGGTACGTGCTCCAATCTTCTCAGCAGGCAGCCCAGGAACAGGCGGAGCCCGTGGCTCTCCCCTTCTGCCCAGGAGGGCTCGCTCCTCATTAAGTAGAGCTGTGGAACAGCTTTGCAAAACCTTGTAGGGTAAGAATGCGAAATGCTCCCTCCATTGCCACCAAGCCACCGGTGCAGAGCTGCTTCCCGGAAAAGGCTGGAAGCCAACGATAAGCATCTATCTTTGGACATGTTTAGCTTCTTACGTGAAACGAGCCCACTCTTCAGATCCCCTTGTCTGCCTGTGACAAAAAAGCCATTTGAAACCTCCCGGATATTTTCTAAGGCAAGTTACTGTGAACCAACCTCTGGTTAGTGGCCCAATCTCTCTGTAATCACCCTGCAGTCAACCTTTGTCGTATCATCTGCTGGGGCGCAGTTTTCTTTGTTTTTTGTTTGTTTGTTTTTTATATTTGTATACAATTTGGACCCATATAATAAGCCTTGTAGGTGGAGATACTGTTCAGTCTGGACCATTTCTTAAATGACAGGTTAAACTCTTGTGCTTTTCTATTTCCTCAAAACTCCACTGGGGACAAAGAAATAGGAACCTAGACTAGATGGGAGAGACCCCAAGGTTGTCTGGTTAATTTCCCACAAACTGCAAAGCCCTCCCCTCTTCAACCCAGGGCTCCTCCTCATTTCTCAGAGGTCTACACCAGAGTCCGCCAGTGTTTAGTCTGGGATATAATGTAGAGATTTAAAACTTAAACTGGGACACAGTGTGGACATAGGATGCCCTGAACATGTTAGGGTTGGGAAGATTTCCTGAGAGAATTTGTCATAGGTGATCGTTTTCTTTAGGCAGGAAGGTTAATCTGGGAGGAGCCACATTCAGCTTATTATATCATATTGTATTACCAAAATGTAGACTATAAAATCAGAGATAAAGGAAAGCAATACCATCCTTAATGTTAGAAAATTACCAATACGAAAAATGGCCATCTGAAAATATGAAAAAAAAAAAAAAACCTTTTTGGGGGTCACCTGGACCACTTGAAAATCAGATATAAGATTTATATCCTCTTATCAGAAAATGCACACACTTTATTCGGCACACAATTTTGGGAGGTCGAGGATGCCCCTGAGGTCAATTCTTCCTCAAGGATTTCACTAGCCTAACAAGTCATGTTTTCTTTTCCCTTTCTAGATTTTCTCTCTCTCTCTCCTCTCTCTCTCTTATGGTCTTAAGACATAAACGTTTTACCTGGTTATAATCATAGGGTAGCTCTGCTTTACATTCTTTTTCTTTTTCACTTAACATTATGTCATAAACATGTCCCCATGTTATCATCAATCATTATAATTATCATTTAAAATGGCTTTATCATAATCCACCTAAATGAGGTACTGTAATTTACATAGCCATTATCTTATTGTTGGACGTTTAGGTTGCTTACAGCTTGTCTCTGAAAAATCTGCTTTATAAAGTATATTTTTATGCACCTGGAAAAGCAGTAACTTTCAAAGGAAACAGTGAACTCTTCTACCATTTTCTTTCCAAATCCCTTATGGTGTCTGTCTCTCCTAGGCTGTCTATAATTTTGGGTTTTGTGTGTGAAATTCTAGTATCAAATTTTATTTTTGGCTGCTGTGCCATGTGCCAAACACAGTGAACTCCATCTCCCCCTCTCTAGTCTGTTTCTCGTCCACTCATCCCCTCCCACCTCCTCCAAGACTGCCATGTGACAATTGCCCTCAAGTTCTTATGAGCTGAGGATTTCCCATGAGGAGACAGAACGTCCTCAGGGGCGCTCTTGACCTCCCGAAACCGCAGGCAGAATCAGGTGTGTGCATTTTGCAGTGAGAGGATATAGATTGTGTATCAGATTCTCAAGTGGGGCCGCTGACCAAGAAAGAATCACTGACTAGGGCTCTTTTTAGCATCTTAATCTCTTTCCCGCCACTGGGGCTTCTCCTCTGCATAAGCCTAAGGTCAGATTCTAGCCTGAAACCTCCCCTCTTTTAATCCTCAAGTTGCTACCTCTTTTCCCCCTCTTGCTTCCTCTTCACTGCCAGCCTTCTTGAATGAGTAGTTATACCCACTGTGTTCACTTCCTTACCTTCTGTCTACACCCTAACTCCTGGGTCTCCCTGTCTCACGCTGTTGAAACTGCTCTTTCAAAAGATGATATGTGCCTCTTTATCACGTGACCCAGTGTTTTAGTCTTCACCTTCTGACTTCTCTCTTGCATATGGGATTATTGCCCTTGATCTTATAAAATTTTCTTCCTGGTCATTTGAAGTACTGCCTCGTCCTGGACCTTTTCCTCTGGCATTTCTTCCCCTGGTGGTTGCCCCTCTTCCCCTCGCTGCCCAATGGAGATCTTCTACAATTTCCTGAGACATCTTTTCTCTCTATATCCTTCTCTCTGGCCATCTCACCCAGACCCATTTGTGTGCAACTTCTACCTCTCTCCTGAAACCTAGGGCCATATTTCTAAGTGCCATCTCTACTGGGAGGCCTGAAAGTATGTTCCGTCAGGTCCAAAAGCAAATCATCTTGTTGGCAGCTCCTCTGGATTTCCATGTTGCCATGAATAGGACCACCCCACGCTTTGCCAGTCAGGCACAGAAGATCTGAGTCCTCTGGGCTCCTCATTATTCCCTGCCTTCCATCTCCTTACTGGATTACGGGCCAAGGCTTATTGGACTCTCTTGCCACAGCGTTCCTTCCTACTGCTGCCCTGCTAGCTTAGCCTCTTGTTACTTGTCACCAGGACTGTTAATCTCTTCTTGCTTCATCTTCCAGAGCCCCCTCACCACCTTCGATGCCTTCCACCAAACACTCCCAGTTTAGTTCCCTAAAGCATGGGCCCAATTGCTTCAGTGTCCTGCTCAAGATTCCTCTGACCATTCCCTTATCCACCACATTACTTCAAAATTAAAAGCCCTTCAAATTCTTAATCCAAACAACTTCTCCAACACTCCTCTGAAGATACCCTCTTTATGCATATTAACGCAAATATGTTTTCGGTATTTATCATTAGAATATACAGATGCATAAACATTTAAGTTCATAGGGATGCTTTTTTTTTTTCTTAAGAGAGGTGGAGGCAGGGAGGGGCAGAGGGAGAGGGAGAGAGAGGATCTTAAGCAGGCTCCATGCCCAGCACAGAGCCTGATGCAAGGCTCAATCACAACCCTGAGATCATGACCTGAGTTGAAATCAAGAGTTGGACACTTAACTGACTGAGCCACCCAGGCGCCCCTGTAGGGATGCTTTTAAAGGAAAATCCTAGTATCCTATTTATTCATCTCATTTCTTGTTTTTTCCTAAACCTTACCTCTCCTTTAAGGTTGAGTGTTCAATCCATTATAATTCAATAAAAGTACCTAATATACATCAGCCTGGCACCTGAAGGGAAAGATGCTCCACTTTTGACATTCTTAAGGTTGAGTCAGAAGCAGTAGGTATCTATGGAAAGTGTAAAAGCTTTCTCTGAGCCCCTGCTTGTAAAGTGTACCAGTCAGAGTCTTGACAGGAAACAAATGGTCCCCTCAAAAGGGATGATCCAGGAGAGCTTAATAAAAGGACAATTCAAAAAGTCTGAAGGGGACCAAGTCAATAGGTAAGGGAGGAGGAGCTGGAACTGGGGAGGTGGTGGTGAGAGCCATTAAGGTGGTGCCTCCCAGCTGGGGAGGATCAGCAGGAGTGACAAAGGAGGGGAGGGTCATCCTTCTGTGTCAGGCAGGCCCAGTGGACCCAGGGTGTGGAGCTAGGGACCCTGTGGGGTTAAACTTCTGGTGTTCATGGGGGCTGGTTCTTTGCAGTATAACTCCAAGGGCAGAGCAAACCCCTGAAGGTTGAATAAAGGGTTGTTCAAGAGCATGGAATCTATAGACTCTAAAGCAAACCCAAATCAATAGAGCTTTCCCTTGAAAACCTATAAATAGTTTCGGGAATGGCTCCTTTGCCTAAGATTGTGGGACACTATCTCCAGTAGCTCTCCTTTATGACATTGCTGGCTTCTCTACTCCCATTTGTGTACATTCAGCATGACAGCAAGCTCACAGGACAGCTAAGTGTTAGGTGTGCGCGCTCACCATGGACATGTCTGCTACTCCCTGTGTGCGCCGGCATGCAATGCACGTAGGAGGGCTGGCTGGATATACCTTCAGAGAGCCTTAGACTTTAAAGAAATGACCAAATTCTATAATTAACTCATAACCATTCAGGGGTAGGTGAACAATGCCCAAAGTTTAGGGAGGACAAAGGTAGACACATCTGAGATTAGAGTAGAGGACAAGCCTCTAGTTAAGGAGAGGTCAGCCTATCACACAACCCCTTACCTCACCCCCTTGGAACTCCCCCTTTTAGTCCTTTGAGTACCACCATCCCTGTCCCAGAAATACATTGGTCCTGTCTACTCTCTTGGGCTTAAACCTGGACAAAACAATTAAACCATCTGCCTTGTTTTCCTCATATGACTGAACTAGTCGAGGGAGCTAAACAGGGCTGAACTTCATGAGCATACGTCTACAAGATGTGGAACAAAAGCTATTCAGATTGTGTTTCTCTTGTTTGCCATGTGGCTTTCACATAGGTTTTTAGCAGATCTATCTCTGGCCATCTGGGGATGCTCTTTCTGGAGGTCACATCTGCCCAAACCTAGGAGGGTTTCGAATATTACATAAGTTATTCCAGGGCAGATGCACTCATAAGCTTGGTCTACCAGGCATCTTAAAAAGACCCGGCCTACCCACCCAAATACATATTTAGAGTGTATAAATCCCATGAGCTCGCAGGTTACATGTAGGAGATGATCCCTGATCCACCCACTGAGTCTAGTACTCTATTTCTCAACTCTGAAAGACTAGTTCTCCAATATTTTGGAATTCACCTCTTCATTGATGAACCATTTGGATGGCTTCCTCTTGATACTAACCATTGGGCATTGGTGCTTGTGCTTGGGCTGCATCTGCCTTGGCTCAGTGGGACTTACCAGCATGGTTTACTTCCTTGCCATCCAACTCACCAGGTGATCAGATCTGGCAATATGCCCACTGCCCCATGCCATGTGTAGTTACTGAAAGAATGGGAAGCATTAGGAGGGTTCCCAAACCACCTGAGGATGAGTGGCATGAATTTCCCGATATGAATTCCTGACAACCATACTCACTGGAGAAAACAGAAGTATGAAGTTACTTTAAAAACATGATACCATACAATATTCCAGCAATGAGATCTGAACAAAGCTGACCCAGGGTTTTAATAAACTTTTGTCTACTCATTCTCCCAACCCAGCACCATTCCCCACACCATCCCGCATCCCTGAATATGAACAAATATGGAAACAACTTACTGTAAACTGGATTTGGCAGCCACCCATGATGTAGTCCAAGAAAGAATGCATCTTGTGGATCTGCATGGGAGGAGGAGGAGAGGAAACCGTTTTAGGAACAGCACAATCTATTTCCTTATGGAGTGGAAGCTTAATCTTTGGGGTTAGGCTGCTAACCTAGAAGAAAGAGCAGAAAGAGATCTGTGAGAAAAAGAGGGGTCAGCTGATTTTGTTATGTTGCAGGCAAGAAAAAGCAATGCTCAATTCAGATGGCCCTGTGAGGGCTGCAACTACCTATGCCCTGTACCCCTCTTTTGGGTTATGGAAGCCTCCGGTGAGAGACTACACTTGGCTTCAGTTTTGCTCCCCGTGTCTAAGTCCCAGTCCTGGTAACATTCTTAATACCGCAAATAATCTAGTTTGGTGGCTTCAGGATTGAAATGTCCTGAGAAGGCCTTTACTGACAGTTTCCCATTCATTAGATTCCTGCCATGCCATGAACAATGACTAACACTTATGAGCACTAACTTTAAGCCAGGGGCTTAATATCCATAATTTCATTTAATTCTTAGAACCACCCTATAAAAGTGGTGCTATCATTATTATTGTGCCATTTTGTGGAGGAGGCAGTTGAGGCTAAGATCACCTACCCAGTTGATGGTGGAGGTGGGACTCTAATGACGGCAGTCTGGACCGTGTAGTCCATCCTTTGGACCTCTGTTCCGGAATTCAGTACGGCCCCTGCTTTCTGCCCAACCATGATCACCTGTGTTCTCGTGTGCCTTACCGATCTCTGGTCTTCATTTCTGCTTCCTTATGATTCTGCTGCTTGACTCTGGGTGACAGTCATTCACTTATTTATTGAACAAGGATTTACTGAGCCCCCACTATGCACTAGATGCTAGGGATACAGTGATGAGAAAACCAGACACAATCCCTGCAGTTGTGGAGCTTGCAGACTGGCCCCTGTACCTGGGCAGGGAGTAACTGTGATTTTGACCCTCAATCCTCAGATTCCATCTGATGCTCAGGGCAGCTTCTCAGAGACCAACCCACAAAATCCCATGTTGGTGTCTCTAGGTACCACCTCCAGGTGGCACACATCTCTTGGCAGACTTTTCTCAGGGCTGATGTTTACTTGGCCCCCTGAACAGTGCCTGCTCCTGGCTTCCTTTTTGTTTTTTTTTTTTAGATTTTTTAATTTATTCATTTGAGAGAGAGAGAGAGTGTGCAAGTGAGAGCAAGAGCACGAGCAGGCAGGGAGGGTCATAGGGAGAAGGAGAAGCAGACTTCCACTGGGCAGGGAGCCCGATGTGGGGGTCCATCCCAGGACCCCAGGATCATGACCTGAGCTGAAGGCAGATGTTTAACTGACTGAGCCGCCCAGGTGCCCCATGCTCCTGGCTTCCTTATGCAATGCTTTGCTTGAAGGTTGGGACACCCTACTATTGTCTGTATATCAAGGAAATAAGAACTTGGGAATGAGTTGAAGTAACATGGCCCCTGAGCACTAAACTATAAGATCAATTCATGGAGGATCAAAACAGACTTACGCACAGTCACCTAAAGGAGATAGACAACCACTGAAGTGGTTCATCTAGATAGTTTTTTCCTGCTTCCCTAGGCACAAGGATGCTTTGAATGTGCCTGGGATTTGATTGTTAGGTAAGATGACCAGAGATAACTGCCTTTGGAAGAAGAGTTTATTTTTTTTTAAATATGGACTTTTATTTTTAAAGATTTTATTTGTCAGAGAGAGAGAGAGAAAGAAAGAGAGAGAGAGAGAGCACAAGCAGGGAAAGCAGCAGGCAGAGGGAGAAACAGGCTCCCTGTGGAGCAAGGAGCCCGATGAAGGACTCAATCCCAGGACCCTGGGATCACGTCCTGGGCCGAAGGCAGATCCTTAACAAACTGAGCCACCCAAGCATCCCTAGAAGAAGAGTTTATTACTCACAACTCCTCAGAGGATAGGAAGCATGTCATACCACTCAGGGGCCACATGGGGAAGCACCAGGGTCAGTCAGAAGGCAGAAAGATTGAAAGGAAAGTGTGGGCGGAAATCTTTATTGTGTGTATGTGTGTGTGTGTGTCTGTGTGTGTGTATGTGTGTGTGTTTGTGGTAAGGAATGAGTGGGGCAGGGTAAGCAGTTAAATTGTTTTAGTATTGGAGAGTCTGAATAATTTTTGTGGCTCTGGGCTATAGGGATGGTCTCTAATTATCTGAAGCCTGGACCCGGGGTCATATAGGACCACAGGAATATTGGCTCCATATGTGAGAGCTCCATAAAGGAGGTGGTTGGGGGTATGGGCTCTGGATTGGTTGGTCTGCATATCAAAGGTAGGCTCACAAGCAAGCTGTTTGCTATCTCCAGAAATTTAGCTAACCCTGGGAGGCGCAGACCCTACGTGGGTCCACAAGGCTCCAAGATGTTAAAGCATCAAAAACTGTAGAAAATAAAAGACACAATTAATACAATGATTCCAGATGGCCAATCCCAATACACTATCCCCTAGTCCCACTGACTGGTTCAAGAGGTGGGCATATCCGTCTTTTCTTTCCTCTCGCTCTTGCTATGAGAGGATGTGTGCCCGCAGCGCCTGGCAGCCATGGAGAGGCCAATCTGGGAGAAGGAACCTGACAAACACAGAGAGAAACTAGATGGCATTTAAGTCTTGTATGTTGGAGTCAAACAGGCATAGGTTAAAATCTCAGCTCTTAAACTTACCACATATGTGACTAGTTACATGATCTCAGTTGACAACTGAAGTCTCAGGGTTAGGATACAAGCTAAACAGAATTCATCATCATTACTCTCACATAGTATATACTCAACCAGTGCCAGAGTTATTCTCAGATGTGACTTAAGAGATTTGATTATTAGCATGTAGGATTTTCTGTGAGGTTAGAGCCCTTCTGGGAGGAATTTCTAGGCCCTTGTGATCTTTCACCACTGCTTTGTGTTCATGGTACCATTCAGTATGGGTGAAGTGCCACATAGAAAGCACTGAACACCATGACAAGCATACAATGGGGGCTCTGGAAATGTTGGCTTACCCTTTGGGGGGATCTCCCTCTGATGCTCTTCTGGACAAAGAGAGCCTGACATGTGACCAGGACTCCCCATCTTTGGGGGTATGACTGTCTTTGTGGAAGGGATGGTGGCATCGGGCCACCACAGCTCCAAGACCCCCCATGCTTACATTTCTCATTGCACATCCACTCATACATTGACTTTCTGATTTTTATTCTAAAACACACCACACTTCCTTGACATTCTCTCTCACTGACCATACAACCTGAGCTCTTCCTCCCAGACAGCCCTAGCTTCACACTCCTTGAAAGAGAGGGACTACATACATACCTTGCACTGATTCAAAATCACAATGCCTGAGTTCTTATAATTCTTCTTCTTGGCTTTGTACTTGGGGTTGATGCACTCCCACTGCACCTGCAACAAGAGAGCCTGCTCAGGAAGAAGGGGAGTGATTCAGTAAGACTAAGCCCCCAGGTGCTGCAGCAAATGGATCTGAGGGCTTACAGACGGTCTCTGTGTGATAATGCAGTTCAGAGGAACGGTTGAGTGCTATCTGATTGCCTGGTTTGAATCCTGATCCCACCAATTTCCAGCCATGCAACCCTTAGCAAATTACTTGATTCCTCTATGCCTTGGATATCTCCTCTGTAAAATGGAGGTGATAACTGTATCTATCTCAGGATTATTGTGAAGCTTTAGTAATTAATCCATGTAATACATTTAAAACAGTGCCTGGCACTTATGAATGCTTTCTATTAATAGGGTCAAATCAAGCAACAGAGAGAAGATGTCTGTAGACACGTTCCTAACACAAGTGTTGAGTCTTAGTGCCTAGGAAATGGCTTAAAATGTCAGAACACTGAGAGACATTGAATGCTGGCTACAGGAAGTTAGTGGGAATAATTATGAGTTTGCATAGACCCTCACTGAGAACTAAAAAATGAAGTGATACGTAACACAACGGTGACACAATAGATCTCCAAAGGGGATAGTATGAGAGCTGCCGGAGTGGCTTGGAACTGAGGAAGTAGCTGGGAACTAAGGGAATGTCTAGGGGAAGAGATATCAACATTTTCAGCCCACAGAAGACTTCATGTGACAAAACCAACTACAAGTCAAACATCCAAGAGCCACTGAATGCTCCTGCCCACCATTCTGTGGGAGCCAGATCCTTGAATTTCCACTCAGGAGACAAATTTTCACTTTCTCTCTGACAATTAGGAGTATCTGAAAATAAAGCAGTTTCTGAGGCAGATGTGAGTGGGGTAGACTGATACAGCTTTGACCCCCATTGCTCCATTCCTCTCAGTGTTCATCCATTTGTGCAGGTCCCTCCACAATGATGATGAGCTTAGTCATGTGACTTGTTTTGGCCAATGGGACATTAGCAAAAGTGATATGAGCAGAGGACTAAAAAGTGCCTGTGCATTGGGGCTTGCCTTCTTCCTGCTGCTGGGGAGTTTTTACCGTCATGTAAAAAAGCTGATCTCTGATCTCCTGGAGAATAAAAGAGTACAGGGAGAAATGTCCCGGCCATCCCAGTTGCTGAGGCACAAATGCATGAGTGAGTTCAGTTGGCATCATGTAGAACAGAGAGGAGCTGCCCCAGGTGAACTCGGCCTAAATTGCCAACCCAGGGAACTGTGAGTAAATAATGATTGTTGTTTTCAGCTAGGAAGTTTTGGGGGTAATTTGTTCCTCAGCAACAGATAACTGAGACCAGGAGTTTCTCAGTACTGGGGAAGTTCCAGTAGGGGCTGAGCAACCACATAAGGGCTGGGAAGAAAGGAATCCTGTACTGGCTAAGGATCCTCTAAAACTCTTTTCATAAGAGGAAGGAACAAAAAAGAGGAAGGAAGGAAGGAAGATAGGAAGGGAAGGTGGGAGGAGAGGAGAGGAAGAAAGAAGAATCAAATTGAATCTGAAATCAAGACATCTCCAACTCTGTTGTTTTTTTTAAAGGCCTAATCTTTCCATCATGATGATGGTTGTCTTTTTTCCCTCTCTTAGCTTCTCTTCTCATTAGCTCTCCATGTGGATAGTGCTTGATAAACAAGAATTCTAGCTTGTCGCAAAGTGGATCTAGCATTTTAAGACAAAGCACCCCAAGTCCCTCCCAAACTGATCAAAACTGAAATTGCCTTTCCCCCAAATCTTCCTCTAATATCACTGTATGAACAAGTAGCATAGGGATTTACCTTACAGTTGGAAAGAAAAGATCCAAAATTAGCTGCGATGATTCCTTTGTCATTTTCAATAATTTCTATTAACCTCAATTTCTTCAGTCAAGCAGGACATAACAAATGAAACTTCACATGAGTTAGATTTCAAGTTATCTGAAGAATTATAGTGATACTCCATGAAAAGTCTCCTCATTTCCATCTTAGGCTAAGGCGAACCGGTAGGGGAGGATTGGTGCAGCCAGACAAGGGCTCTAGGAAGCTGCATCAGAACCCACAGGTACTCGGGGCTTTTATGCCCGTTGGGCGGGAAGGGGGTGCTGATGAACCAGGTCTAAGTATTCTGCATGTATGTTGGGATAAATGTTATTATAGGTTATTTGCTTTACATCTACAATCCCATTTAACTCTCCCCTAACTCCCTTTTAGAGGTGCAAGATGAGGCTCAGGTCTTATGGGTGGCAACTGGTGGAGATGGGATTTACATCAGTCTCACTTCAAACCCTGGCCTACTAACATAGCGCTTCCCCTAGAAGGGCCTTGGAGGGGCTCTCCTATTTGTTCTTGCAAGTTTCCTTTTTGGCCACCTCAAACTAAGTTGTTCAAGAATGCCCCTGAGAATTAACCCAAGTTAATCAAGAATTTACCCTGCAGAACCATGACTCTCACAGGAAGGAGCTTAAAAGAAGATGGCTCCTCTTTTTTTTTTTTATAGCTTTATATTTTATTTTTTTAAATAATTTTTTATTGTTATGTTAATCACCATACATTACATTGTTAGTTTTTGATGTAGTGTTGCATGATTCATTGTTTGTGCATAACACCCAGTGCTCCACGCAGAACGTGCCCTCTTTAATACCCATCACCAGACTAACCCATCCCCCCACCACCCTCCCCTCTAGAACCCTCAGTTTGTTTCTTAGAGTCCATCGTCTCTAATGGTTCGTCTCCCCCTCCGACTTACACCCCTTCATTCTTCCCCTCCTGCTATCTTCTTCTTCTTTTTTTTCTTAAAATATATTGCATTATTTGTTTCCAGAAGTACAGATCCGTGATTCATCAGTCTTGTACAATTCATAGTGCTCACCATAGCACAT